GTCGTCGACGTCCGAGGGCCCCCTTAGTGAGCAGAACCTGAAGGATGCCTACACCCAGCTCACCCAAAGTGTGCAGGAGTGGCGGGACGGCTGTGTATACCAGGGGCAGTTCGGGCTGGACATGAAGTTGGGATGTGGAGAATTCTCGTGGCCCACGGGCGAGGTAACTGGCTTCTGAGACTTCCCTCCGCTCTCCCCCCAGGGCTTGGCCAGCAGGGCCAGCCTCCCTCCTACTCAGAGGGTTGTCATGTGAACTCGCAGATCCATCAACAGGAAGGTTGCCAGGCTAATGTCTCTCCTACCTGAGACCTGAGAGATGCCTGGAAAGTGCCCCGAGACCTCATGTGACCAGGACAGGTGGGGGCAGGGACTTGAGCCGGTGCTGAGCTTGTCAACGCATGCAGGTCACCAGGGCGTTAGTGATTCGAGCACTGACTGTCATTCAGCATTTGTTCTTTAGTCCTCAGTTTTCTTTTATCCAACAATGTGCTGCTCAGTGGTCGGGCTGCCTTCACGGTGGTGGGAGGTTTGGGCACATGGACCTGTCCTCCTGACTCCAGGTTCTCCCCGGGGAGGAAGATCACAGCAGGGGGGCACTGACGTGAAGCGCCAGCTTTGTGACTGCCTGGCAGGGACCTCTGGGTCCCTGAGCAATGCTTGTTGCGGCCATGGCGGCTTGTGAGCCCCAGAGGTCAGAAGGAAGAGGGCTGCCACTCGCAAGCAGTGACCTTGACCATGTGAACTGTGTTTGACCCACAGGACCAACCATGTCTGCTCTGCTGGTCAGATGAGGCCTCGGTCTGTGCAGAGGCCCGGGGAGGGGTGGAGGAAAGCATGGAGACGTTCGCCCCGATGCTGGGGCGGACAGAACCCTCTCTCGTGCTGAGGGTTAAATGTTCCTCCTGCCATCCTACATAGGCGATTTGCAACAGGATTTTTTTAGTTGGGTAGGCTCTTATACCTCCCATGACATCATACAAATTGAATGTTGGCAGAAGACGGGCAGCTCCCAGCCTAGTGCCCTGGCACTGCCAGGAGGAGTAACCGACGAAACCCAAATTAGACCTGGCTGAAACCAAAGAGGGCCTTTGCTGGCTCTTGTAACTGAAAGGCCATCACAGGGGCCATGTAGGTTCTAAAGACCCACCAGGCCCGCCCTCTCCCCATCTCCATGGGGGGGTGTTTTTTTTGGCAAAACTGACCTTCCGTCATCTGGCGAGCCCCCAGGGGTGGCGTCACACACACTGGAAGCCAGAAAAGTCCCCAGCAGGACACTTGTCTGGCTTGGGGATGGGTCCCGTGGCCAAACGCAAATCAAGGCTGAGGCCAGGGGTCAGGAGTCCTCTGGCGGCCAGGCTGGGTCCCATGTGCCTGGGGGCAAGGGTCAGCCTCTGAAAACCCTGTGGGAGTCGTCTCAATTGCCAGAGGAAAGGGCAGGTTCGCTAGGCAGGCCACAGCCTCGTCCCCTCCATGCAGAGTGGTCTGCGAGCACGGACAGCCAGCTTGTGCCGACCCAGCCTGCTTCCGGTGTGGGGTGCAGCCATTTGACATGCGTGACAGTTGGGACTGGTGATGGGACATCACAGTCTTTTTTCCTCCTGGAGCCCCAGTGGACGGGCTGGCTCCAGTAGACCCACCCCTAACACAGACAGAGGCCCACATCCATGGCCTCAATATCAGAGTCACACCCATGCTCCCAGCCAGGGCCCACAGCCCCCGCCCCCACCAGGGCCAAGCTGGTGACCCGAGGCTGGCGGCCCCCACTTCCTAGGCCAGCCTGCTGCCTCAACCGGAGCGGGAGCAGGGCAGGGTGAGGGCTGAGCCGGGGCCAGAGCTGGTTGGAGACAGGTGCTGCCCAAACCCAAGGTGGGCAGCAACCCGGCCATGGGCCCTCTTTCCTGACAGGATGTCTGGGCAGTTCTGATACCTCCCTCACCTCCCCACCTGTGCCAGGGCGGGGGAGCATGCACTGGGGGCTGGCCACCTGGCACCTGCTCTGCATGATTTGGGTGACCAGCTCTGTCACCCTGGCCACCTGAACTTGAAGGGGACGCTGTGGCCAGGCACCCCATGAGGCTACCATTCCAATGGTCCCCATCCATTGCTAGCCCGGCAGGGGCTCAGCTGGGAGGCCATCCTGTAAGGCTCTGGGTGGTGAAGGGCAGCTTCTCCGACATGCCCATCACCCAGCTGTCTGTCCACAGTCCTACCGCGGGCAGTTTTACCGGGACCACTGTCATGGCTTTGGCACCTACACGTGGCCAGACGGCTCCAGTTTCACCGGCATGTTTTACCTCAGCTCCCGAGAAGGCTACGGCACCATGTACACAAAGGCAGGTCGATTCCAGGTGAGGGGCGGGGCTGCTGTGTGTGAGGCCTCTGGACAAAACGCTATTTAGGTTCTGTTTGTTTCTAATTTTTAATGATTATAATCGTATCAATAATATGGTACATAGAAGTGAAAATGAAAACAAAACGAGAGGAAATTGAAAGTCTATTGAGTAGGGGATGGGATATTAGCAAGTTGTATGTATCTAAATATTTACTTTTTATATGTGAGCTGTGTCATTCTATGTATATTGTTTTTCAACTTGCCCTTTTTTTCCTGGAGAACATCCCTGGTTTTGCAAATACAGACGCCTTTTTCCTTATTTTATTGATTACAGCGTCATGTACAGTAATATTCACCCACATTAGTATACAGTTCTGAAGGTTTTTGACAGGCACACAGTTGTGTAACCACCACCACACTCAAGACTCAGAACAGCTCCTCTGCACGTTACTCTGCACCCCTGTGTACCAGGCCTCTCCTCCACCCCCAGCCCTCATCCGATTCCTTTTTGCCTGTAACCTGGCCTTTGCATGAGGCCATGTTCATGAAATCACAGGATATGTAGCCTTTGAGTTAGTGTTTTTCACTTTGCAAAATGCATCCGAGATTCATGTGTGTAGTTATGTGAATGGAGAGCTTCCCGCTTCTTACTGCTGAGTAGTCCACTGTGGGTCCACCGCGGGGTAGCCGCCCCCGGCTGGCAGACGTGCGGGTGGTTCCCCGTTTATGTGCACACACACATCCATGTGGGGTTCTGTGTATGTGCGTGTGTAAACATCATGCTCCCAGGTCCCACCCCCACCCTCCAGCCTCTAACTTATTTTTCATCACTGTAGTTTCCCCTTTCCTATAATTTCATATAAATGGAATCATCCGGTACGTAGTATTTGATCTTTGGTTTCTTTGGCTCAGGGCATGATTCTTTTGAGATTCATGCATATTTCTGTAGTTCATTTCTTTATATTATGGAGTACGGATAGAAGACATTTTTTATTGATTCACCAATAGTTGCGCATTTGAGTTCTTGCAAGTTTCTGGTTACTGTGAATAAAGCTGCTGAGAGCTTTTGATTGCCAGTCTTCATGTGGACATTAAGTCTTTATTTCCACTTGGATAAATACTGTGAGTAGGGACCAATCACGTGTTAAGTGTGTGGTATGTATGAGAAACTGCCTAGTGCTTTTTAAAGGCATTGTCCATTTCAGCCATCACTATATGCTATTTCCAGTCTCTGCACATCTTCGTCAACACTTGGTATTGTCAGCTTTTAAAGTTTTAGCCATTCTATGGGTGCGTTGTTTTGCTTTCATGTTTTTGGAGTCTATTGTTAAAATCTTGCTTTAAATTTTTTTGTAATTATGTTAAAAAAATTGATATTTTCCCAAAGTCAGATCTGGCAAACCCACCCCCGCCCCCATGCCCAGGAGTCAGCGTCTATCCTTTTCTCTTCTCTCTGATGCCTCCCTCGTCATTGCTGATGTTTTATAGTCTTATCTTTGCATTTACAGACTTTGAATAAATATGCACACACACCGCCCTCCCACGCAGCACACTCTCCTGAGTTTCCTGCCTCTCGTGGGAAGGCTGGTGACGTGGGATGGCCCCCAGGCCGCGTGGGCGCTCACGGCCTTGTTCACAAATCCTGCCGTGTTCTGCCGGTGATCGTGGGATGCTTTCCTGGGGATGATGAGATTGTTTGCTCAAAAAGTAAACAGACACCAAAACCAGAAAATGTAAAGGTTGCATCCCATGGACACGCCCTCCTTGTTTAATCACCTGCTTATTAGAGTTTTTGCTGCCATGATGTGTGCTGTGTGACCGCATTTGTGATTAGGGCTTTGAGGACAGGTTAGTTCTTCACACTCGATTTCCAGACCTGGAGCACCTGGCTCAGGGACACAGGCACCTTGGACTCTGCACAGACCTGCAGCTGCTGCCGCCCCACTGCCTGCCACCCCCACCCTGCGCCCCCTTTCCTTGCCCTGCCCTCAGTCTTTCCTCCAGGCCCACAAGATGAATCTTGTGGCTTACCCCTCCAGAGCATCTCCCCACGCCATCTGCCCCCACTCTCGCCACACCCCACTCTCCCTCCTGCCCCCCTGGGCCACTTTCACAGACTCTGGTGGCACTTCATGTCCCATTGTCATGCTGCAGATTCTGGCCCACACCCCCACAATGCACAATGCAGTCACCCTCAGTGCGCTTTGCTCATTCATCTTCTGCCGCCTGTTCTAGACTGGGAGCTTCTTGTGGGCGGGGCCACGCAGAGCGAAGCCTTCCGTCCTGTCCTGTCCATGGCGCCAAGCCCTGGGACTGCCGCCAGAGATGCCCAGATGGGCATGTGGAACAGATGCAGAACTGAGATAGGAGCTGCCTTTCCGGTTCCCAGATGAGGGCACAGCTCAGGGGGTGACATGTATGTGCCACTGTATGTCCAGTGCCCTCCCATGACCTCCAGGCGTCCTTCAACACCATCGCAGGAAAGATCACTTCCTGGGAATCTGGGCCTTTCTCTGTGCTCCTTGGGCGAACTCTGGTCCTGCGATGGTTCCCTTGTCGTGGGGGCCGTTGCCGCTCACTGTCCCTGGTCCGGCCCACCTGGCGCTTCCCTCTCCACCCTCGGAAGCGTCCAGAAAGACCCAGGAAGTGTGGCGTTCTGCTGGGTTCACGGGCAGAAAGGGTTAGCTCCTCTTCCTCCTGTCACACCTGCTGGGGCCTGTCTCACCTGGTGCCTGGTGCCTCCACCCACCGGCTGCGGGGGTACCTGAGCTGGGCCCCAGTGTTAGAGCTGCAGGGGGGTCCCTGAAACGAGCCCCTTGTGGCATCCCAAAGCACTTCCACCCTGAGAGCCCCGGTCACATCCCCACCTGCCCGCCCTGCCCTTAGCGCCACCTCCACCAGGTGTTCCCAAGCGACACGTTTGCTTCCGGTCCCTGTGCCTGGGGATACTAAGCCCCAGAGAATACCTGTTGTGCGAATGCATACATTTCTTAGGGATATTTTTCTTCTTTTGATTTTAAGAATCTGGTGGCAAAGCAGGCCGCCGCACTGAGTTCCCTCCCCTGCCCGCTTGGGTCTGTTTTGCAGGGGCTGTACAGAGCGGATGAGCGGTTCGGGCCGGGCATCGAGACCTACCCTGACGGCAGCCAGGACGTGGGGCTGTGGATCCGGGAGCACCTGGTCAAGCTGTGCGTGGAGATGCCCAGCAGCTTCTCCCTACGCAGGCACCCCGAGTTCAAGGGCTTCCTTACACACCGTCCCGCCACCCTCAGCCTCTCGGACGAGGAGACCATGCAGTGGGACCTGCATGAGGACCAGGACCCGTTTTTCTATGACTATAAGCGGCTTCTGCTGGACGACGCCCTAACTCTGCCTCCAGAAATGCACATCTACTCGACAGACCACAGCCACATGCCCCTGACGCGCTCTCTGCGCCGAGACCTGGACGCCTGGGTCCTCCGCCACGACGTCCCTCCGCTTGATGAGGACGGAGAGCCCTGGTTTATCAGAAACGAGACCCCTTTAATGGTCAAAATGCAGAAGCAAGCTTACAAGTTCAGGTAATCAGTGAAGCCATTCATCCTCATCCGAGGTCTGGCGGACGCCTTCGCCCTCTTCTGACGGTCCCTGGCGCCGGGCTGCGTGGCTTTCAGGGCTGTCAGGTTAGAGCAAATACGCTGCTCTTTCCAACGGACTGATTCAATGGCATGGAGAAGGGGGCGGGAAAGGGGCGCCAGCACTTGTGGGCAGGACTGTGCGTGTGCCCTGAGTGCGGGAGAGCTGTGGGGAGCCAGGCAGGGGATTGGGGATCCCGGATCTCGCTGGTCTGCTGCGAGCAGGGCGAGGAGTGGTCAGGAGCTTGCTCGGTGGGCGTGGAGCCAGGGCAGGCCCTAGGGCGGAGTTGGGTCTGAAAGGGGCCATGCAGTGGGGTCAACCCCTGAGCCCACAGGGCTGACTGCCCGTTGTGGCCCTGGGACCTGTGCATGGTCCTGACATGTAGGTCAGAGCTAGTGCCCCGGCCTCTGCAGGGTCCTGTCTGACTAGATGGTCAAGCCCCGCACAAGGTCCACAGAAGAGAAGGGACTGTTATTTCCATGATGTCTTAACTCAGATCTGGCCAGAGAACCAAGGGTGGGAGAGCAGGGCCAGAGAGGACTGGGGGTGGCCGGGCACTGGCTTCTCCAAAGATGGCTGGGGAAAGCCGGAGCTGCTCCGTCGCTCTCCACAGGTGCTCCACACCCACAGCCCTGGGAAAGTTAGCAGCCACCAAAGGAAAACTGTCTTTTTTAAGTTAAGATTTTCAGGAATATTTTAATCCCTTTCTTAAACTTTGTCTTCAGATATCACTAAACAATTTTAGAATGCATGTTTTGTGAGCGCAAGTAGCCACTTAGGCATCCATCCATCCACCCATCCATTTGTCCATCATCCATCCATCCACCCACCCATCCATCCATTCATCCATGGATTCATCCATTCATTGATCAATCCATTGTGCAGACATGAGCTGAGCCTGTAACCACTGGTGACTGTTGGGTACAGAAACTACCATAAACCACAGGTTCTCGACCATGAAGGAGGTTGTGTGCACACAGGAGGCTTCGGTGTGTGTGGTGAATGGGCTACGGGAATTGGCCTGTTCTCTGCCGAAGCGGGAACGTGTATGCGCAGAGGTGGGAGTGGGTGCTCAGTGCCGAGTGCTGGCCTGCGTGTGCCTGGCCTTCCCCGCGGGGCTGCTGGGAGAGCCCCTTTCCCAGCACACGCGGAGGGACTGGATGAGTCAGGGACGCACGGGGCCTCCTTGCAGCCATCTGCTCAGGGCAGACGTGTGGCCTGAGTCTCTTCACCTGCAGGCCGCGCGTCCCACCCTTGCACCACGTCCATGCTGACCATGGCTGGCCAGAGAGGCAGCCCCTGGAGCTCAGGGTGAGGGGGGGAAGACGGCCAGGGGCAGTTCAGGGGGGCGGGGCGAGACCCTTGGGAAGGACGTGTGGCAGGGAGGGGCTCAGGTGGCCCTGTGGGTGGTCAGTTTTTGGGACCAGAGCCACTCTGTGTTGCCAGGAACAAGAAGGAGCACACCAGCTGGAATATGGGCGCCATCCTGGAGGGGGACCGGAGTGGCTTCGCGCGCCATGGGCCCAGGGAGCAGCTTTCTAGGCAGATGATCCTGAAGGCTGAGGAAGGGGACTACGACTGGATTTACGGGGTCCTGAGGGATGGCCTTGCCAGCCCCGATGTGGCCGACGCGCAGGGCTACACTGTACTTGCTGCGGCCGCTGTGAGCACCCCTCCGCGCTTCCCGAGCCTGTGTTGGCTGCATGGCCACCCTGCAGGAGCCTGGACCCCTGAGGGCCCTGGCGATGGCACCCTCCCCTCCCCACAGCCCCTCCCCCCTCTGTGAAACCACTGTCCTCCCAGCCCCCACGTGGGATGTGCAGGGTCAAGTGGAGAGAGGGGTTGGGGGCAATGCCGATCTTCTCATGCCTCAGTCACGCTTGACGCCCCTTTGCCAAGCCCAAGTGAGAGCTTGTGTCACTGTCTCCCAGTTCACACCTGGCACGGGGCCTTACTGGAGGAAGCCGCCTCCCAAGTGAGTGTCAGGTGCCCTTCGTGCTCTTTGCTGAGGGCACCTGTGTTCCTCCTGAGGCTGGTCTTCTCCCTCCAGGTTCACTGTCACGCTGACATCGTCAGCCTGCTGCTGGACAGCGGGGCCGATGTGAACAAGTGTACGGACGAGGGCGTCACGCCACTCAGCATGTGCTTCCTCCTGCACTACCCGGCCAGGTCCTTCAAGCCCAACATCGCCGAGAGGACGGTGCCCAAGTCCCAGGTCAGCTTGTCGGCTCCCGCGGCCTGGCTCAGCGTACCGTCATCCTCCTGTCCCCTACCCCCCACCGTCCATCCCTCTGTCTCTCGTCCCAGCTGCCTGCCAGCCTCCCGCTCCTTGTACAGACCAGGTTCGGATGGAGTGAAATGACAGTAGGTCCTGGTGGGGATGAGAGTGGGGGTAGCAGGAAGCAGGCGGGGCCTGCACACCCACACAGGTGTTCCGAGCTCATTGCCAGGTCGCCCACGGACATGCATCCTTACGAGCCATGTGCATAGCATCTCGGGGCCCAAGACCCCTCCTGGAGAAAAGGGGTCCTCAGGAAAGGGGACACCGTGGGAGGGTGGGTAGGAGGCCCACCTCTGCCTGTTGTGAGTTGTGCTGTCTGGACGTCCCTGGGCAAGTGCCGGTTTGCACCCTGCTTCTGGGAGCTGTGGGGACATGCAGTCATGTGTCGCGTGATGGCATTCGGGCCAATGCCAATGCATGTACGCCGGCGATGTACCGTAGGGCCTGGATGTGCCATGGACCGTACCATCCAGGTGTGTGTGTCTCCGTGGTGTTCGCACAACGAAATCACTTAAAGACACATTTCTCAGGATGTGTCTGTGTCATTAAGCGGCACGTGACTGCACCCAGATGTGGAATGGTGGGTCACGTCATCGTCCTGTGTTTCGTCAGTTGAGGAACCTCCAAACTGTTCTCTGCTCGGCCATGGCACCCTCTTACATCCGACCTCATCCCAGTTCAGGCTCGGGGACCAGTCACAGTGCAGGGCCTAGCTCTCTGGGGTGCAGGGCAAACGTGGTATCCACGTCTCCTGAGCGTGGGCAGACAGGCTGCACCTGCGGGGGAGGTCCCCACCCTTGGGAGCAGACCCTGGACCCTGACTGGCCGCCACGCGAGGCCGGCTGGGCCTGGGACAGATGTCCACCAAGAAGCCTTCGGAAGGGCTGAGGGCTTCCTCTCATGGTGCTCTGGGGGCCCTCCTGTGGGGTGCTGGGGTGGGGACTGCAACCTGGAAAATGTCCCCTTGGTCAGACGAGTCTCTGTTCGTCTTTCACATCCTCCCAATCACTTGAAGCTCTTTCTCTAAGGAAGGTATTTACTTACCCTGACCTGTGCCCCCGGCAGGCAGAGTTCCTTGGGTTGCCAGACACTCCATCTGTCCCCACTTCTCAAGTTCAAGTCCTGGGTGGCAGCTTGGAGGCCACGAGCCTGACCTCATGGTGAGAGGTGCCCGTGGGGAGGAGGCCCAGAGCCGCTGCCCTGGGGGGTCCTGGGTGCAGGTTTAGCCTGCAGCCCGTGTGCCTCCATGTTTCTTCGTTCCTCGAGCTCTCGAGGACATCGTGACTCTGGCCGTTTCCAGACGCTGTGCTATGAGCAACTGGGCCGATGAGAATGTGGCAGAAGGTTGAAGGGGGAGGGTTTGGAAACCAAGGCTGTGATACCTGCTTTGGTTTTATAGCAGCATTAATTTGTGCCTAATTGGTGTGTATACTCTGTTTTTCTTAGTCAGAAGTTGTTCACTTACAAGAGTGACTGACTTTCGAGGTCAAAGGTGGCCCTGTGAACCAAGGCGGTCCTTCAAGTGGGAGCGTCCGGGACTGGACAGCCTCTCCAGCCCGGGGCTGTGGGCATGGGCTCAGGGGTGTGCATGGAGCCAGCGGGGAAGGGGCAGGGTGGGCGGACGGGCGCGAAGCACCCCATCCTGGGGGGCGGGGGCCGATGGTCCTCGGGGACCCCGTACCCAGAGGAGTCCTCATTCACTTGGAGGAAATTCGTTCTTGCTGAAGGAATCAGGGGCCCATTCATGGGGCCTCTTAATTCTGGTCTTAAAATTAGAAATTGCTCCCTTACTTTGTTGTTACATTTTTCATTCTGAAAAATATTAGACATACATAAAAGAAAACAGTGCCATAAATTTCTGTGGACCCGTCGCCCAGAGGGCTCGTCCACACGCCCCACCCTGACTCCCAGTGTGTGTCACTTCAGAGTGAGCTCCCCAGCAGGTGGCTTCAGCCTTGGAGACGTGTGTGTGTCCCCAGTTAAAGATACCTCTCTCTCTCTCTCTCTCTCTCTCTCTCTCTCTCTCTCTCTCTCTCTCTCTCTCCCTCTCTCCCGCCCCCCTTCACTATTATCTCAGCTAAAAATACACGGTCTTTTCTTAATGTCTGCTGCTACCTCATCAGTGTGCAGTTCCCCAGCTCTCTCATAACTGTCCCCTTAGAAGGGGCTTAAATGAACCCACATTCACGCAAGTCCACACGCTGCTTATAGGCGAGGCCTCCTCAGTCTGTCCCCCAGCACCATTTCTCGGAGAAGCTGGCTGTTGTCCCCCTCCGCGGGCTCTGCCCCCTGCACTGCCCAGTAGCGAGGGGCCTGAGTGTGGGGGCACCCGTGCAGGGCTGTCCTTGTCGATGAAGCCGTGTGGGAAGGCGGCCGTGTCGCCCCTTATGTAGCACCTGAGGCTGCTCTGTGTCGTGGGGCTGGGCTTGTGTAGTTGGAACAGAGGCTCCCAGGCCCCCAGAACCCTAACTATTTACCATCTGGCCCTTTACTGAAAAAACAATCATGAAAACTAATGTGGCCCCACCCCCGGCATTTCTGCCTCCGTGGGTCGGGGGTGGGGCCCAGGAGCATGCGTTGCTGGCGGTGCTGATGCTGGTCCAGGGACCACCCTTGGGGAAGGGAGGCTGTGGGCCCGGGGTGGAGGGCGGTGCCACCTCAGAGCCGCCTCAGAGCCACAACGGAGGCCCGCGAATGACTTAAGCCACACAGACAAAGTGAAAGGGGGAGCTAGCTTTAATACTGCCCTTCGTTCAATCTGGTGTGTCTCGAGTCTCTCCCTGCAGTGCGTGGCCAGTATGACGGCCACTGCGGGGACATTGTACAGGCTTTGTGGTGTCCTCACACTTCTGGGCCCAGTCCTGGGCAGGTCTTTCTCTGGGCGCTCAGTCACGCGTGTGGCTGGTGGCCGCTGTGTGGCCTGGGTTTGTGCGCGATGCCCTGAGGCGTGTGCGCCCCCTCTGAGGGTCCCCGGGAAGGCACGGGGCAGAACCGCATCAGCATTGTCAGCCCAGGTGCCTTGAAGGCCGCTCCCCACTGAGCTCAGGCCGTTGCTGCAGGAGGTGTGTAATGGGGCTGGCACTCTAATTCTTCCTTCTAATGGTACATACATATATTTTTTGGTACTTTCCAAAGGAAGCTCCAAAACTCTCAGCAACTCAAAGCCATTCCTCCGCGTTCTGCAAATCGGACTCACTTCACTTGGTACCTGCCCAAGGCAGCCAGGAGTTCGTCAGCCCGAGGGGCGGCCCCCAGAGACGGGAGTCCACATCGCCCAAGGGCAGCGTCAGCGACCTGGACGACGTGCTGGGGAACCTGGACAGGTGCACGCTGTGCAGCCATGAGACAAACTTCGAGTCCAACCTGTGTGTGTACAACCTGTCCCTCAAGCTCTCACAGGACGTCCTGGAGAAGAGCGCCCGGGCGCACAGCGTGCTCAACGTCCCCTCCTTTGGTGAAACCAGCTCAGACAAGGGCACCATGAGAAAGATGGCGCTTTCCATGATCGAGTAGGTGGCTGGCGTGTGGGTGGTGGCAGGAAGGAGGGAAGGGGGGTGCTCAGCACCCCTCCCCTGGCCGCCGAGGGGCGTGTTTCAGAGGCTGCAGGGAAGCTGCGGTGGCTCTTCTGCGCCTTATCTCCATGGGGGCTCAGGGTGGCCCCTTCTGGCGGCTCAGTGCTGGGGGCCTGGCTACAGCAGGACGGGTGGGCATGGAGTCCAGGAACTGTGCCCCGGACAGGCCCATGGGCGGTGGGCACCACACAGGGCCTCACACTCACTGACACACACTCGCTGCCCCCACACACACATACACCCCTGCCCTGGCAGTCTAGACCAGCTGTTCTCAGAGTGTGGCCCATGTACCCCTGGGTGTCTCAGACCCTTTGGGAGTCTGCGAGGTTGAAAGTGTTCTCATCATGATCCTGACAGCTGGGTGACAGCTGGGTGACAGCTGGGTGACAGCAACACCACATTCCTTCACACGTCCACACGTGCACAAGAGAATGTGTCTCACTTGGAAATGCACTTGACGGAGCAGCAGGACTGACCCGTTTATTAAACCCCAACCGTGCAGCCCATGCTCTAAGCATGTGCGCCGAGGGAAGGACGCGCAAAGCACGTGTCCCTCACACCGCAGGGGGGGCTTTGCGGAGGAAGGCAGTGCTCCGTGGCTGGAGCTGCCCGGTCGCCGTCCTTCCCCACAGGCCACCGTGGGAAAGAACGGTGGCTGGCACATGGCGGTCACTCTCTCTTCTGGACACGGTCAGCCTTCTGCTTTACGAGGACAGTTGACAGTGTGTTTTGCCAGGAATGACACCCCAGCTCTCAAGGGAAAATCATACTGCAGCGTTTTCACCCAGCACACACTGTGTACGACCCGGGTCAGCCTTGGGACCATCTCAGTGAGGCACTTGTGTCCGCACGACCAAGTCCGGACATCACGGGCGTCCTCGGGCTTAGACCCCTCGCGGGGCAGGGTTCCCGGGCAGCAAAGCACATTTTCCAGAGAAATATTTTATGTAAAGTGCACTGGGTTTGTCACCGTTACTTTTTAAATGCATTAGTGAGTATTTGAAAAATGTCTCAGTTTTAATTTGTAATGCAGTAGACACAGAAGGATAGGACCCATGTAAACCAACGCTCTTTGGGGTCCTCAAAGAATTTTAAGAGTGGAAAGGGGCCCTGAGATCAGGGAGTTTGAGAGCTGCTCCTCTAGATAGACCTGGCCTCTCCAGAGACTTCTCACCTCCCCACCCTGGTTCTGTGCTGCTGGCGGGGTCGTCAGGATCAGCCACACCTGCCACCTGCCTGCGCCCGCGGCCATCTCACCGCCTGCTCGGCTCCTCACCACAGGCACTCCCCTTCCCGACCGTCTCACTGCCATCCCAGCCCGCCCACCCGAGGCTCACACGGCCCCCAGGTCTCAGCACAGCTGCCCCTGGGGCCGGCTCTGTGTGCCTAGTAAGATGCATGTGACTGTGTGTGTGCCAGTATGTGTATGTGTGTCGATGTGTGTGTGTGTGTGTGTGTGTGTGAGATATGTGTGTGCAGTGTGCATGTGCACATCTGCTGTGCACGGTACAACCTTGTGCCCTTTGCGTTCTAGGTCGTCACCTCACAGCCACCCCAGGAGGTGACCTCTGTGAGGAGTGACCCCCAGGGCTGAAGCCAGGCAGGCCACAGCTGGACTTGCGCTTGGCTGACTGGCCTGCTTAGGATGGTTTGGCGACGGACGGGTTGTCCTGGCCCCTGGCTTGGGGCCTGAGGTCTTGAGACGGCAGGACCCTGGAGCTCAGGGCCTTAGGAGCATCCTGCCCTGGGGAGCACCGGTCCCGACCGGGGGTGCTGTCCAGGCCACGCCTGTGCCTCTGCTGCAGCCTGTGACCATGTCACGCTAATCCTTCCAGGCACAGAAACAGATGGCTGACCATCAAGCTCCTGTTGCACCGAGGCGCTGACCCCAACCTGTGCCGCGTGCCCCTGCAGGTCCTGTTCTTCGCCGTGAAGGCCGGGGACGTGGACGGGGTGACGCTGCTGCTGGAGAAAGGCGCCAGGACCAAGATCCAGTTCCCCCGTGAGGTGGGCCCAAGGTAGGGGCCCCCAAGGTAGGGCCCCCAAGGTAGGCCCCTGAGGTAGGGTCCTCCCCTAGGTAGGGTTCCCCCAGGTAGGGCCCGTGGTGTGGGGAGCGAGGCGGGAGGGGCAGGCTGCAGACGGCCACTCATAATGTGAGGTCAGAGCATTTGGTTTTGAAATTTGCAGCACTTTCTCTCTCCTTCCCCGGTTCTGAGAGCCCCGCTCCCCACGGTCACTTAGGCCATTTGCTGCACTCAGAAGTGGTGACGGTGCAAAGGTTTTGTTTGGCTGCAGCTACTGTCAGTGGCAGGCAGCTCTCACCTTCCTGGCCCCTCGGTCAGGCCTTTTCTTTCCTTGTCTTCTGAGTGAGTATAAGGTCAAGTAGTGCAGCAAAGCAGAATTTTTGTAAGACCCAGGATAATTCACAATAACTTTTGAAGTTTACTGATTGCACTCCAACTTTGAAACTGACTAAGGTTATAGCCTTTAAACTCATCACAGACATCACTCACTCATCCATCCATCCATCGTCCATATACATCATCCATCCATCCACCATCCATCCGCCATCCATGCTTCCCCAATCAAGAATCTGTTGTTTATGCTCATCTTTTGAAGGGAAGTCCTGCTTTAGTAAGATGTTTGAGTGGCATTACCAGGTGCCCGGAGACTGCCTGCTCCTCCCTGGGCACAGCGCACTAATGCCATTGGTTTCTGAGCGTCCTCCCAGCCTTCCTCCAAGGGCCCCCCTTCCTGTTCCCGGGGTCTCTGTACAGCGTCGTCCTGTTTGGGGGTTGCTGAGTCCTCCACCTGGGCCTGAGGTGCACCCTGTGTGCTCTGGGCAGGGGTCTCTCTCCGAGTTGGCTGTGCTCCCTCCGGGACCGGGTCCCCCACTGTCTCCGTGTAGCCAGTGCTGACCCAGCCAGTGACTCTCTCAGCCGACGGCTGGAGGCTGCCGTGGGTGGAGGACAGGCCGGGGTGGGGCCTGGCATTGGGAGCTGTGTGGCCGTCTGTGTGGTGGTACCTGAACAAGGGCCTGGCAGGGAGGACAGGGGCCCTTCTTAGAAGAAGGTGTGGACAGTCATGACAGAAGCTGGCTCACCAGGGCCTGCACTCCTGTCGATGGCAGGCGAAGCATCTTATCAATTGGAACGGACATGTCCATGGTCCACCGTGGGCGGGCCTCATTGTCGTCTGGCACGATGGGGCCGGCGAGGACGCAGGGCTGCGGGCATCTCGGGCAGGCAGGGGGCTCCCGCCCTGGACAAGCCCTCACTGCCCTGGCACTGCGGGGGGTGGCTCACCGGGAACTGCATCCTCATGGTCCCCCATGTTTCCTCTGCAGCTGGGGGCCCTGACCCCCCTCCACATTGCGGCCGCCCTTCCCGGCAAGGAGGGCATCCGGATAACAGAGCTGCTGCTCCACGCCATCACAGATGTGGACACCAGGGCGGCGGACCAGGACGACGTGTGCAGACTAGTCAAGGTGCGCCACCTGCCACCTGGTGGGACGAGCGGGGTGCCAGGGGCCTGGGGGGCCGGGGGCCCTGTATACAACGTCATCCTCTAGTTGGAAAGTTCACTTCCTTTCACTTGTCCCGAATGAGGTTGATGACTTCTGCACCTCAGAGCTGTCTGGGTCCTCGGCAGCATGTGTGCTGCCCGTGTGAGAGCCCCAGGGAGGGCCGAGAACCACGGGGACCACGTGGGTGTCGGGCAGCTCAGGGCACCCTCGGAGGAGAGTGCTGCCTCAGACCACAGTGTGGGAGGAAGGCCCTCGCTCCTCAATGTGGGCCTGTTCGCTCGCGGCCCTGCCTGGTCGGGCAGGTGGCAGGTCTCAGGGCACTTGGGGGAGAGGCTCGGGCGCCAGGCCCTGACCCCTCTGCGTGCACACAGCTGGACCTGTTGCCTTCAAGCCTGAAGCTCAACAATGAAGCAGGCCCCCCCAGCACCTACTACAGCGGGCACACGTCTGTCCCCGACGAGGGGGGCAGGACGGCTCTGCACGTGGCCTGTGAGCGGGAGGACAGTGCCAAGGTGAGCGGGGACCTTCCTGGGCAGGCGGGAGCTGTGTGTGTGCATGTGCTCTGGATGTGCCCACGTAGGTACGTGTACATGAGAGTGTACATGTGTGTGTGTGTGTCTGTGTGTGAGCTTGTGCTTATAGGACAGCATGTGTGTGCACATGTGTGAGCTTGTATTTATAGGTCAGTATGTGTGTGCACATGTGTGCACGTGCCTGTGTGCGTGTGTGTCTGGATGTGTTGGGGGCAGTGCCATGAGTCAAGAGCCCTGGTGGGAGCCAGGCTGGGCTAAGGGGCAGACCTTGGGGTGTCGGCCCCCCTAGGCCATCTGCCCGAGTGGGTTTCAGATGGATGGGATGGCTTCTGTCCACAACAAAAGAATAATAGGTTAAAACACAACACGAACTATCAGAAGGCACTGCACGTGATGGGTGCATCACAGTGTCATCTGCACTTGACAGGTCTGTCACAGTGTTGTTTCAGAGCACAGTTAGGGACACGCGTCCACACGCATGCCTGTATACACTGGCCTCGGCTGTAACTGTCCTGTGCTCCTCAGCCAGCCTCTGACTCGGTCCCTAGCGGTGACCCGTCCCTCCGGCCGTGCAGCACTGCCTCATTGGCCTTGGGGATTAACCCCCAGGGACAGGAAGCCGAGTGGCCAGGTGGGCACATAGGAAACTGAGCTCAGCTTAGGCTCCTGTAAAATGACAGTAGCAGCCGGCCTCACCGCACAGGGTGATGACCACGCGTGACACCCTGACACGGCAGTGTGAGGACCTGTGTGAGGGGGGCACCTGGGCCGTGCTGGGAAGGGTGGGGGACACTCACAGGCCTCCCTGCTTCAGAGCGCCCCACACGTTAAAGCCTCCTGGGGCCCATCCACCACCCTGACCAGAGCCTTCTGAAGGGTGCCATGGGGCCCACACTAGGAATGGGGACAGCGAGGCCCAGAGAGCCAGGCTGGCCAAGGCCCTGGACCAGGAAGCACGAGGCCTGGACTCTGAACACACTGCTTACCGTGTCACACGCCTGTGTCCTTTGTACTGATCTCAGAGTTGGAAAAGTTACGGGGAAGCCAAGTTAGGAGGCATTAGGGGTGACATTGTGATTAAGTCAAGGACAGATGGCCATGCTGAGAGGCGGGGGCTGCAGCAGTCCAGCCATCACCTCTGCGTTCCGGCGGGGAGAGGAATGAGAGGATGCTTTCCCAGGAGCCCCCAGCAGACTTCAGCTGGCACGGCTTTGGCCTGGCCAGTGAGGCCGGGCAGGGGTGTGGGCTTGGACGGAGGCCGGGCCATAGCACGGGGCACACACCTGCAGATGGGGGGCAGAGCCAGCAGAGTGCTCAGCGCAGGAGCCTGACGGGCAGGGTCCTGGTGGGGGAAGGTGCCACAAAGGTGTCCCCTGCGAGCCCTTCGGGGAGAAGAGGGCGAGGAGGAGGGGACGGCGGGGAGGGCGCCCACGGCCCCCCAGCCATGCTGGCTTTCTCACGCTGTGTCCTGCGGGACCGCTGTCTGTGGGCCACACCTGCTCAGCACCTGGCCCCGCTACGATGGTCGTATGCTCCTGACTCGCCCCCCTGCTTTTAAAACAAGCTTTAAATCAATTACATGTCACTTGTCCTTCCTGTTTCCCATCAGGAGTGACAAATGTATAGAAAACATCTTCTGAGTTTGAGGACCCCCCCCATACACAATCTATCCAGAATTCAGAGCTCTCGGTGCCAGGGAGGGTGCTGGCGTGGAGGAAATGGCACTCACGTGACCACGTGATGGTATAGCGTCTGAGTTAATGGTCTGGGCCAGGTGCTCCCGGGAGCCGGGGCCTCTCTGACCTGCTGTCCCCATGCAGTGTGCCAGGGACGTCGTCCGGCTGCTGCTGTCACACCGAGCGAACACCAGCCTGCTGTGGAGTGGCCACTCCCCTCTCTCTCTGTCCATCGCCAGTGGCAATGACCTGGTGAGTGTGTCCTGCACCCCTGACCATGACCTGCAGGCTCCTTCTCCAGTGCCCCTCCCCAGCCAGTCATTGGGGTCTGCTGTTGGTGGTGGTGGCATGAAGACATGAGATAAGGGGTGTGGGTCCCCTCTGGAGTGGATGGAGCTCCTTAGAGAGACAAGGATGGTGAGAGAAGAGAAAGTGAGCAGTGAGGGTGAGGGCTTAGCCAGGTGGATGCTCCCTTGTGGGACATAGATCACAGCCCTGCCTGTCCCAGGCACCGGCTCCTCAGTGCTCTGGGAAAGTTACATTGGCCAGTTCCCACCTCCTGCTGCCGCCAAGCAATGTGTTTATTCATCATCCATCCATCCATCATCCATCCATCCATC